AAATGGAGAATAGACTTCGGTACTATTGCATGTCCTCAAGTATCCCACATAAGTGTGTATTTCCTCAAAATTTCATATATTTAGACCAATATCTAATGCTATTTCTATAGTTATTAGGACTTCCTTTGCAAATTTGCTTTTTTTTTTCCAGCCAAAAGTTACCCAACACAGATGACGAGTTGGCCTGTTTAGGCATTTTTAGAAATTGTTTATTCAGCAGCTCAGTACCCATACATGGGAGTGCTTGACCTGTGAAATTCATGTGTAGTCAAGTGACCACACAACCAAAACGTGGCTTCGCCACTGCTCCCGGACGGCGTCCTTGGCCACATCCTCTCGTTCCTCCCCACCAAGGAGGCCGCCCGCGCTCGCCAGAAGCTGGCGCCACAAGTTCGCGCACGTAGACGCCATCTCCTTCGGCGAGTATGACACCCACTACCGCAGCCTCAGCGACGACTACACCTTCCACCTGGAGTCCGTGGAGCAGCGAAGCAGGAACGGGGAATTGCTCGACAACATCAATGCGGCACTCCTCTGCCGCCGCCGCTGCTCCGGCGACCGCAATGTCGCGCCGCGCGTCTTCCGCGTCCACTTCGGTTGCTACAATACAACTACTGGGACGAGCCCATGGTGAGCCAATGGCTGTCCCACCTGCTTCGCCGGAGCGGGCCGGAGCTCCACCTCGACCTTCGTTTCCAGCTCACCGTCATGGGCGAGCACCACGTGGGCGAGCCGGACCAGCAGGGCGGCGCCGGCAGCGAGGCGGACGATCGATGCCCCGTGCGCTACAGCTGCTATGAAGCGTACGCTGATCCGTACACGCTACCAGCAAGTCTCTTCTCCTGCGCATCCCTACGGACTCTTTGCTTCGGCAGCTGCGATCTGGATCCACCAGAGATCGTACGCCTGCCTCTTCTCGAGACGTTGGTCCTCAGCAGAATCACCGAATGTGGCCGTGGGTACGGAATCCAGCGACTCATCTCCTGCTGCCCGCGCCTCCTATAGACCTGACGCTGGAGATGTGCGGGACTTCCCCGATCACCGTCCTCGACAAGTGCCTTCGTAGGCTCGCTCTACGGTGCTGCCACTACCTTCTCAGCATAACCATCGACGCGTCGGGGTTGAGGGAGTTCGAGTACAGGGGTGTGGTGCCCGCAGAGTCACTAGTGACCCTCCACGGCGTGTGCAACATCTTTTCGTGCCACGTCGACTTCTGCGGCAAGAAGGTTCGAGATTTGCTCCGGTTCAGAATGTTCCTCGAACAGTTCACGGGCACAAAGCATTTACATCTGGTGTCTATGCATCTTGGTTCAGACATAGAGGGTGAATCCTTCACGGGATTCCCCTCGTTTCCAAACCTCGGGAAGCTTGAGCTGACAGGATACCTTCATCGAGGCAGCGTCGAGGCGGTGACTAGGATACTCGAGCAGGCTCCACACATTGAAATTTTATCTCTCTTCATGAAGCCAAGTAAAGACAACGTATGGGTGCACCCTCGCGAGCTCAGCGATGAACTTGTAGTACCGGATGTGTCGATCACGTGATTGCGGAAGCGGCTGAGGGAGATCAACCTTGTGCACTACCAGGGCCACGAGGCACAGAGGTGTATGGCCAAGCTGCTGCTCTGCAATGCGCGGGTACTTGAACGAGTGTGTGTTGTCTTTCCGAGGGGGCCGTGAGAGTTGCAGAGGAGACTGAAGAAAGAAATCGGAGAAATGGTGGTGCATAGGTTAGCGGAGACGATTTTCTTGTAAGGTAGCGTCGCATGAATAATTCTGATGCTATTTTAGTTCTAGCAAAATTAGCCTCTCATATTTGTTTGTTCTCGTAAGATGAATTGCTATATTAATAACACCCGTGATGCAACATGTTGAATCTCCTTTCCACGTTTGGTGCAGTCTTGGTTTGGTTTGGTACTACTACTACATGGTTTGAATGTTTTAAAACAGACCTGCTTGTTGAAAACATATATATGCTTCTCCGACGGCACCTGAAAGAGTTTGATGTAGCTTGTCACAAAATAATACGGGAAGCGCTGAAACATGAGTGTTGGGTTAAATGGCATATCGTTCTTCTTCTCTTGGCGGACACTAGGCGTCACCGGGATGATCCCGCGCCTGGGATCAGTTGGGTCGCCGGCCACTCTCGTCCAGCCGCCCATCTTATAAGCTGTTGGATTCACCCAAGGCAGCTTGTTCAATTCATTTTGTTCGCGGGTGCTGGTTACAGGCGTTGCTTGCACACGTCCATCTCCACGCGCTGGTTAATATCATGTGCAGCGACTCCACAACTCCACAGACCCTAGCTGAGCTATGCTCTTCAAGTATCAGCAAGTCATCCATTGCCTCAAAAGAAAAAAGTAAGTCATCGACACGGGCGGCGGAGTGGCTGCTGCATACGAGGGTAGAGTGGTAGACGTGCTGCAAAGACATTACGACGATGTCGTGAGGGATGGTCCAACTGTTGCGGGTCTCGTTTGAGGGCAGCTCCGAAGCTACGGCGTGCTGCGACGAAGGCCCGGCCGCTTCAAAGATGTTGCGACGACGTGCTTCGACGACCCGTGGTGGGTGCTTCGACAGCCACGGCGATGCTACGACGGCAACCCGGCTGCTTCAATGATGTTGCGATGGCATGCTTCAGCGGCCGCGACGGTTTCTTCGACAACTGCGGCCATGCTACGACGGCAACCCGGTTGCTTCGATGATGTTGCGCAGCATGCTTCGACGGTCACGACGAGTGCTTCAACAACCATGATGATGCTACGACTGCAACTCGGCTGCTTCGATGATATTGTGATGGCATGCTTGGACGGTCGCGACGGCTTCTTTGACAGCTGCGGACTGCGGTGATGCTATGATGGCAACCCACCTGCTTGGACGATGTTTAGCGGCATGCTTCGGCTGCCACGATGGGTGCTTCGACAACCACGATGATGCTACGACTGCAACTCGGCTGATTCAATGATGTTGCGATGGCATGCTTCAACGGCCGCGACGGCTTCTTCGACAACCGTGGCCATGCTACGACGACAATCCGGTTGCTTCGATGATGTTGCGAGGCATGCTTCAACGGTCACGTCGAAGTACTTCGACAACCATGACGATGCTACGACAGCAATCCCGCTGCTTCGATGATGTTTGCGATGGCATGCTTCGACAACCGCACCGATGTTGTGATGAACCGCGATGGTGGCATGCTTGGAACGGTTGCGGCAAGGCGGCGACGGTGTGCTTCGATGACTGCGGCGATGCTCTGACGAAGGCCCAATTGCTTCAGCAATACTGCGACGGCATGCTTCCCGGTCATGGCAGTGCTATGACGATGGCACACCTGTTTCAACGATTCTACGGCGACAGACGGGCTGCTCCGATGCTGCTGCGATGGTATATATGCTTCGACGACCACAACAGTGGTGGAGGCTTCAAGGACGCTACCGTAAGCATTGCTATATCCAAACAATCATGACTCCATGTACTTGCTAGAATGCTAGTATCAAATCCAACAAACACCTACACTCAACGTCAAGAATGTGGTGTTCTCGAATCCTCCTTGTGGTTAAGTACTAGTAGGAATGAAGTGTAAGTAAAAAAACAAGAAATTGTCAAACAGTCACAGCCCACTCAGTTTTAGGCGTCACGATAGGTTTGCTTTCTAGTGGGGAACAAAGGGATGCTCTGCACCACAGGATGTGTGCGATCGCACGGCGCTGGACACAGCTGATAAAGCCATGAATCATCCGAATATTTTTAATCATTTTCCTTACTCTATCAATAATCTCAATCTCCAACTTAACTGGGTCAATTGACTTAATAATAATGAAAAAAGCCTAACTCGTGTAAAGGCCCAGTCCGGTCGTTAAGAAAAAGGTAAAGCCCACGCAAATGTATCAAAAGAAGGTAAAACCCACACGCAAACACACACACCCTCTCCCTGCGTGCACACGAAACGCGACATTTTAGCACAAATCTTGACGTGATAACCAAACAAGAAAAAATTGTATTTTGTGCATTTTATAAAAAATGAAAACACAAAAACAAGAAAATAAATTTGTTGTTTAATAAAAACAAAAAAAGCAAGAACCATACCGTTAGCAATAAAAAGTTTTAAAAAGTAATAAAACAAAATTTAAATAATTTAATAAAAAATGAAAACACAAATTCAAAAAACAAATTAATGTTGGAAAAAACGCAGATACAAACATTTAAAAAGTACTTACTAGTAGAAAATGAAGAGCGAACCAATTTGTGGTTGGATGGCTAGGAGGACAGTGGTAGTCTCAGCCCACCAGGGCTCAAGTAGTAGACTTGACATGGATGCTAGCATTATTCTTGGATTTATTGCAGGCTTCCGGCGATATTCATTCAGCAGGAGAAGACGTTCCCGTCGATTGTGAGGCGTTTATAGGGACTTCGTAAAATCTCAAGATGTTATGCCGGCTTAATCTACCGAAGGTGCTCATATGGGTAGGATGTGCATGTCCACGTTCATAATTATGAGTGTATGCTCGTGTATGCGAGCTACTTAGATTGTACCTTGTTAAAAAAGGTATAAAGTAAAGAGACCGGAAAAACAAAATAAAAGAGAAAAACAAATAATAAACCAAAAAGCCTAACTGTCAAAGAAAAAGATACAAGACACACACA